CTCAGCCTCCTGAGTGCTGGGATTACAAGTGTGCGCCACCACGCCTGGCTCGGCATATAATCATTTTGCATTAATTTTTGTGACAGGTGTAAGGTCTATGCAGATTAATTTTTTTGTACATGGATGTCCACTTGTTCTTGCACCATTTGTTGGAAGTTCTTTTTTTTTTTTTTCTGGTACCAGGAATTGAGCTCACGACCTTGCGCTTGCCAGGCAGGCACTGTGCCACTGAGCTAAATCCCCAGCCCCTATGCACCATTTGTTGGAAAAGGAGACCTTTCTCTATTGGATTGCCTTTCTTTCTTTGTCAAAGACCAGTTGGCTATATTTATATAGGTCTACTTGTGAGCTCTATTAGTTCCTCAGATTTATTTGCCTTTTCTTTCACCGATACCCCACTGTCTTAATTAATGTAGCTGTAGAGTAATTCTTAAAATAAGAAGTGTTCTTCTATATTATGTTGGGTATTCTGGGTCCTTTGCCTCTGCATGTAAACTTTAGTGTCAAATGTAACATTTTGGGGTTTTGATTGGGGTTGCATAGAATGTATAATTCAAAGTGCTAAAAACTGACATCTTGACAATATCTAATCTTCCTATTCATGAAATATCTATTTGTTTAGTTCTTTGATTTGTTTCACCAGAGTTTCATAGTTTTCCTAATATAGCTCTTATACATATTTTCTTAGATCTATATCTATTTTAGTTTTGGGGTTAATATAAATGGTGGTGTTTTTCAATTTCAGTTTCCAATTGCTGATTGCTAGCATTCAGAAAACAATTTGACCTTCAAGTATTAACCTCATATTTTGCAGCCTTACTGTAGTCACTGAACTTTGTAAGTTTGTTTATTCATTCTATAGGATTTTCTACGTAACCAATCATGTCATTTGCAGAGAAGGCAGTTTTATTCCTTCCTTCCCAATTTATGTGATGTATTCCCTTTTCTTGTCGTGTTTCATTAGCTAGAACTTCTGGTATGATGTGGAATAACAGTCAAGAAGGGGTACCTTTTGTCTGTTTCTGGTCTTAGGAAGAGACATCTAGTTTCTCATCATTAAGTGTGATGTTAGCCCTGTGGTTTTTTGCCCATGTTCTTTACCGAGTTGAAGAAGTCTCTCTTTCCTAGTTTCTTACAGTTTTCAGTTTTTAGTCATAAATGGATGTTGCTTGTTGTGGTCCTAGCTCCACATGGGAGACTGCAGGTGAGTTTGTCCCTGTTCATGATGTCCCCCTCACAGGCCTGGCATACTGTGGGAGACCCTGAGACCTTGCACCAGAAATGGAGTGAGTGACCTTTGAGGATGTGGCTGTGAACCTCACCCAGAAAGAATGGACTTTGCTGGATCCTTCCCCGAAGAATCTCTACAGAGCTGTGATACAGGAAGCCTTCAGGAACCTAGTCTTTGTAGAAGTCCGATGGTGGAGAGTGACTATAAAGAGGAACGTAGTCTGTGTGGAGAAATCTTTAGTCTCCAGATCAAACTTTAAATAAGCAAACTGGACTACATCTGTACAGAAGCCATGTGTGTAAAGAAGTCTTCATTGGCCGTTCATCTCAAAGTATGCCCTTCAGACCTCACAGCGGGCACAAATCATATGAGCATCAAAAACATGTAGAGAAGCCATGTAAATGTAAGCAACACGAAGAACCCTTTGCCCTTCCCCAGTGTTTTGAGGAGCTTCAGAGGATACTGGGGAGAAACCACGTGAATGTAAGCAATGTGAGAAAGCCTTCAGATATTCCAGGTGCTTAAAAAAATACATGAAAGAATTCACACTGGAGAGAAACCCGTGTGTGTAAGCAATGTGGGAAAGCCGTCAGTCACTCCGGTGTTCTTCACGTACATGAAAGAAGTCACTGGTGAGAAAACCTACGTGTACAAGAAATGTGGGGCAGTGTTTTCACCTTGCACTTCCCTTCAGCTGCATGGAACAGTTCACAGAGGAGAGGAACCTTACGATTGTACAGAACGTGGGAAGGCCTTCAGATCCTCAAGCGCTCTTCATGTACGTGAAAGAATCCACACTAGTGAAAAGCACTGTATGTGCAAGGGATGTGAGAAAACATTCATATGTTGTACTTCCCTTCAGCTACACAGAAGAACTCATATTGGTGAGAAGCTTTATGAATGTAAAGAATAAAAAAGCTTTCAGAACCTTTCAGTAGCTTTCGGAAATATAAAAGGACTCACAGTGGAGTGAAACCTTATAAATGTAAACAGTATGGTAAAGCCTTCAGATATCCCATGTACCCTAAAATACCTGAAAGAATTCATACTGGAGAGAAACCTTATGTATGTCACCACTGTGGGAAAACATTGACTTATTCCAGTTCTTTTAATCCACACTAATGAGTTCACACTGGAGACAATCCTTATAAATGCAATCTGTGTGGGAAAGCCTTCAGATGTTTCAGTCATCTTTACGGATGTGAAATGGCTCGCACAGAGAAACCGCGTGTATATAAGCAAAGAGGCAAAGCCTTCCTTCTTTCCCATACCCTTCAAATACATGAAAGAATCCATACTGAAGAGAAGAACATTTAAAGCTAAACAATGTGGGGAAACTATTCGTGTTTCATTTCCCTTCAAGTGCACATTGGAGAGAGCTTATCTGTAAGCAGTGTGCTAGCGTACACCTTTCGTAGTACTCTCCAAATAAATGAAAGTATTCATACTAGGTACAAACCTTACACATGCGAGCAGTGCGGGGAAACCTTCACCTGTTCCTCTAAGTATCAAAGACAGGAATTTACTGAGAAGGCCTATGTGTGTAAACAATAAGGAAAAAGGTTCGGATGTTCCAATTTCCTTTCAAAAAATTGGGAAGACTTTATGTAAAGAAAACTCTGTCTACTTTTCTTTGAATACATTCCACTTGTGTTCAATACATGAAAGTAAACACTAAATATAGGCTGGAAAAGCCTTCATTATCATATCATTTGTCTG